CCCGCCCGGGGGGGCGGGGGAGCCGCAGGCGAGGGGCCGGCGCCGAGGTGAAGCCGCTCAGTCGGGGGGCTGGACCGTGCGACCGGTCGTTATTCACCTCAGGGCCCAGACGCCTCCATAGGGTCGCCAGATGTTTCAACAAAAATACCAGACACACTGGACGTGACCTCACCCTCTGCAGTGCATCTGAGTTAGAAAATACCCGACAGTTCTGTTTTCTCATTTCCGTTTTCTCAATTTGTTTCTCCGAACAGAAAGCTCAAATACTGGACTGTCCAGTTCAAAAGCAGACACCTGGCAGCCCTACCTCCCCACGGCGTCAGGACCCGGTCCTGCCAGTGCAAACACACAGACACCTGCAGGGCTGCCAGCACTAAGCCAGGCCGTGGGGCCTACAAAGAAAGGGAAGGGAGACGCCCGAACCAGACCTCTCAGGATAACCCCCCTCGCTGCAGTCACGCACCAGGACACCGGCTCCCACAGACGCTCATGGCTCTGCCAGACGGACCAGGGCCTGCTCCGAGCAGCGACTGCTGGGAAATTCCGTGTCCATGCAAGGGAAAAGCTGACTTGCCTCGGCTGTGGCAGATTCACAGCCCACATTTCAGCCCCGAAAAACATGCCCAGAGGCCAAGGGGACAGCCACCTAGCAAGGGCTGCTTTGCCAGGTGCCTTGCTGCATGTCAGGCTGCAGGGAGACCCTCATTCTAGCTGAAGCCTTGGTCCCAAGGGGAAGGTGGGTGTGGTATGGACCCCATCCTGTCGCCTTGGGAAGGCTGCAAAGAACTCAGACCCGGCATGCAGCGGAGGAAACCTGGGCTGCGGGGCTGGCCCTAGGGAAAATGCCACCTTGGGCGAACTTGTGTTTTGGTGCCTCTGACCCCTGAGGGCATAGCGCCACCCCTTTCCCCTGGCACCTATGGGCTTCCCAGCCCCTGCACCCCCGTCCTGTGCCCCTAACCCCTGCACAGTGCCCCCTTCACCCCAACCCCTGCACTTTCCTCCCACCTGTGCCCCCAAGCCCAGCGCTGTGCTTCCCCCATGCCCTGCCACACTGCTCCTAGTCCAGGACCTCCCTTTGCCCAGCAACACCCATGCCCACCCTCGGCTACGGTGCCCTGGGCAGCTTGCCCAGCCCTGAGGCCGGCCCATCTCAGGAGGATGGGGGGGAAGGGGGGGAGCCAGTGTACATTGGCCCAGGACTGCCCTGAGGTTTGATAGGGGCAAGGGCCATGGGAGGGGCCGGTAAAAAGCAGCCCCATGGAGCCTTCCAGTGGATTCAGCCAGTGAGGGTAAAAGCCCCGTGGAAATGGACAAAGGGCCTTCTCTGACTGAGACCGCCCTGAACATGTCGTGCTCTAGGGCTGGCTGGAGCCGGGGGCTTTGCCTTCCTTCGCCCCGACTAGTCAATCGGAACTGCAGCCTTCCCTCGTCAATTCGCTGTGTTGTGAGGAACAGTGTTACTGAAGATTTTATTACAAGGTTTCTACAGAAGCCGGCACAATGCGCGCGAGCTGATGGGGGTGACCCCCGCAGCATTTTGAGACGCACTAAAAGATCTGATCACACCCTGCCGGGTGGGAAATCCCGCCTCTGCCATGTTTCCACGCTAGAAAGAGCCCACTTGAAAGGCTGTGCTAGCCACGCCGTGACGCTCGTGCCCGGTCATGTAGATGCCCTACCGACCCCCTGGACATTTCAGGGGATGTCTACAGGACTTGGCTTTTAGCCACCCGTCTGGGTCCACAGCAGTGTGGCTACAAGGCAGGTGGTGTGAACACGGTTTGTCAGCACTTTTGGGGACCAAAATCTTGCAGCTGGGAGGAGCGGTGTTTGCTCTGGAGCGCCCGCCTGCAGACGCAGCCTTGTGCCTATGCAAAGCGTTTGTCATTAGGGAGGGGGCGGGGGAAGATGCACCTGGCGAGCAAAGCTTTGGCACTCAATGGCCAGTGTAGACAAGGTCTAACCTGCTACCCACTTGATACCCATCCGTATTATAGGAGGGGACCTGGCAGCTGGATGCAGCCCCATTGGGGGTTTGAAAGCCCTACGTGACAGGCGCTACAGGAAAGTGGCTCCTGCTTCCTTCAGACCATCCCCCCTTCCTGCTGTGCCTGGAATGGGCGCAGGAACCAGAGCAATGGAGGGTGCCAGGTGCTGGTGGAAGGCGGGAAGAGACGTCTCCTCATACGCGGTAACTCAGCACCCGCATTTGCTGGTGGCAGTGTGTGTGTGTGTGTGTGTGTGTGTGTGTGTGTGTGTGTGTGTGTGGTTTCTGCTGTGCCTGGTGGAGGCCACGGTCTCTGAGGGAGGAGCCAGCTCCTGTTGATTATATGAGCTTCACTGAGTTGTTCGACTGACCAGCAGCTCTCACCAGTACAGGGGTCTCCCTGCTTAGTTCAGCTGCCTTGCCTGCGCTGCTCTCTCCCGCGTGTCCGCTGAGCAGTTCTAGTTAGCATGGGCCCATCGGCCCCCTCTCACTGGTCTGGCCTGCACCTAGTAGAACAAAATTGGTGCAATAGCTCTATCTGCCAGGCCAGGCTCTGCATCCATCCCCGCCCCCCGTGCCAATGCTTTGATGTCAATGGGCTGGCTCGGGTTTGACTTGGAGATAAATGAGCCGACAATGACGTTTGCCTGTTAGTACAAGTTGAACCTCTCCAGTCCGGCACCCTTGGGACCTGGCTGGTTCCAGACCAGTCAATTGGCTGAGCCACGGGAGGTCAGTGTTGTGTAGCAGCACTACCGGCCCTTCCGCAGTTTGCTCGGCTCTTAGAGACAGTTAGGGGTGAATTGGAGCTAAATAAGAGCACAGAGCACGGAGAGCCAGGACTGGGGGCTGTCAACAAACTTTATGGGACTGCGGGAAACTTGGCCACGCCCATGATCAATGCACACCTGTCTAACTGAAATCATGCCGGACCAGGGATGTTGCCGGACCAGAGAGGTTCAACCTGTTAGCGCGGCTGGAATTTGACCTGCGGGGTCTGAATTAGTGATGAGGAAGCTTGAGTCTCAATGGACTCCCCCTCTGCTCCCACGGGGAGGTTGCAGGATTGTCGTGTATGGACTTGGAAACCAGGCAGGTCTGAGCTGGAAGTCAGTTGAAAGTACTGAACCAACACGGCGCCGCTGCAGGCTTCACACCTGTGCGCAGAGCGGCAGTGCTCTCTCTCTGGCCTTTCAGGGACGAGCCTTGTGGAGGGATGCTGCCGTCACCTGCCTTTCTGGCGTATTCCCCCTCTGCCTGCCTGTTGCCATTCTCTCTCCGGCACGTGCTGACTCCAGACCGGCGGGCAGGCTGTGAGTCTGCTGCCCAACAAGCTAAACAGGGCCCAGCAAAACAAGGGGTGTCTGCCAGGGCGCCAGGCAGGTCCATGAAGTGGAATACCCAGGAGATGAGTGTCTCCCATCCGGCCAGACCGTAGAACCCTTCACCTGCTAGAGTAACAGGAATATTTGCAGCTACTGCTCATTTATGACTATTACTGAATGCTACGGACGTCTGGGAGCAAACGGTCCTGGCAAGGCAGGGAGGTCCTGTAGCTGCTGCTTATTACAATCATCATCTGACTGTTCATTTGTGCTGTATTTGTAGTATCCCCCTGTCCTTAAACACCAATTGTGACCTCCATCAGCCAGGGCCCGCCTTTTCATTGTGGCTGCTGCCATACTGATGGAAAGGCAGATTTTTCTAAGGTCCATAGTGCAATTAGGTGCCCGCTAACTCCCAGGGGAAGTGAGGTTTGGGGACATGACTCCTACTTTTACCTTAGAAAAACTTCCCCACCGGCACACAATTTTTTAGCAGTAGGGAGGGTGACAGCATTTTCCCTGACTTCCATCTGCAAACGAGCTCTGG